GTGAAACAACGTCCTCCACAACTAGACTGAAGAACAAAACGACAACAACTTGTCTGTTCCCCTTCCCCTAATTCCCCAGCGCTGTTCCCATCCCCCCAATTCCCCAATAAAAATCTTTAAAAAAAAAAAAAAAAGAGCATGGGGTCCAGTTTGACCTGAGTTCAATTACGAATCTGCATTGAAATTTGAGCAAGTTACTTACCTCTCTATGCCTGCTTTCTCATTTATAAAATGGAGCTATTAATAGCTATTTCAGAGTCACTGTAAAGATTAAAATAAAGTTTTTAAAGCTTCTAGTTGTGTCTGGGTGTAGTAAGTGGTCAATAAATTGTAGTTATGATGATGAAAGCTGAGAGTAGGAAAGTCCAGACAAATGAGAGCTTATATGAGTCAAATATCAACCAAACATCTTCAGCCTCTAATAGAGGTAGGCTAATTATTTAAAATGTACTAGGAACATATGCCAGGACTAAATCCTTTTCCCTCCAGAAGACAAATGACACAAAGGTAACATATAAGAACGGCCAAAGCACTTTGAGGACACCAAGAGTGGCTGTCTTTACAAAGGAGGTCAGCCACACTTAAAACCGAGTCTTCAAAAAAAAGAGAGCCGCAGGAATTGCCTAGATAAAAAAATAAAGTACGTGTAAAAGCCCAAATAAATGCAAGTGAGAAGCATAGAGATGCTGCTATGGAGTGTGTGGGAGTGGGGCTCGAAGATGAGCAAACAGGACCAGGAGGTAAGGGGCTAAGGCCCTCTGTTTAAAAGTCTGCACTTCATTCTTCAGGCGGTGGGGCGATGAAGGGGAAAAATATAACATGCTAATATGATACCAATACTTCTGAAGAAGGCAAAAACACCTGTATGACTTTCAATACCATAAAGGTCCACTATATGTTAACAATGAGCAATTTGCTTATTAACAATGATTGACATGGAGCCTGTTCTCAACACTTATTAAATGACCATGGTTACAACAAGCAGATAAAATCTATCGCGTTTACTATGTGGCTGTATTATGTTGCGTTATGTATTCTCTCATTCGATTTTCACAACACCCTTATGAGGGAAACTATTAACCCCATTTAATGGATTGGAAATTACTAAAGCAAAAATGTTATAGTCAGATGGCTAGTGAGTCTGAGAGACGGGATTCAAATCTAGGCTACCTGACTCCAAAGCCCTAAAATTAGACCAACCTGCTGAAATAATTTAATTGCTCAATTCATTTACATCAATTGCTCAGAAACTGTATGTATGTACCTACTGTAATTTAAAGCATCATGCTAGGTCAGTGATTCTCACATTTTACTGTACAGAAGAATCACATAAGCAGATTCCTAGATTTTGATTCTGTAATTCTAGAGTAAAATTTTCAGAGACCTGCAATTGTAACCATAACTTCAGTCGATTCTGATTCACTTGGTCCATGAACTATACTCTGATAAACTCTGTGCTAGGTGTCCCAGAGATTCACGGATTTTTGAGTTTCCTGTTCTCTATGAGTTTACAATTTAAAAGGGGTAAAAACAAGGTACACAAACAATACAAAGCAATTCAGGAAAAGCAATATAGACAACACAGGCAGTAAGAAAGACTTCCCAGGAAGAAGAGTCATCTGTAACAAAATGAAGATGAGTAGGATTTCACTTACAAAGGAAACACATTTCCTGCAGACTTTCAGGAATAATGTTACATACAAAGGAAGGTGTGCGATGGGTAGACAGGTTGGCAGGCACAGAGGATCTGCATTTAGGGATGGAAAAATGTCAGAAAAAAAGTAGAGGCTGTGGAACGCCCTCAATGTCGCCCTAAACAGTATGGGCTTTATTCAGTGCTGGCACTGTGATGCTACTAATGGTTTTTGAGGAAGGAAATGATAAATGATAGCAATATTCTTTGGATAGAGCTCTGATGAAGCTATGCAAGATCAAGTAGAACAAGAATAACAGACCAAGGGAATACTTAGGCTGTTGGCATTCTAATTTCAAAGAGATAAGAGTCAGAACAGGGTAGTGGGAAAGTTGAAAAAGGGAAGAATGGTAACTCTTCATGACTTATTGCATGTAGTGCAAAGGCAGCTAAACAATTTCTTCACCCCTTAAATCTCCAAACTGTATCACTATCAGCTTCATGTTACTTTTTAGAACTTTTTCTTATATAGCTAACCAGGCCCAAAATATATAGTTCACTTATTTAAAACACAGCCCATGACTAAGAAGTCAATAAATAGGCCTCTGAGTAGCCAAAACACATCACAATTCATCCACTAAAATAATAATAATTTATATACTATATATATTATATATAGAATATATATAAATGAAAGAACATTACTCAGAGCTACACAATCGAATGTTACACAAAGTTCTAACAAATGTGAGCATCTAATTTCCAACCCACGGCAGTTTGGAAGCAAAAATTAGAAGAGGAAAAGAACCTGATATAGGTGGACACAGTTAAGAGTCCAAGGTTCAAAAGAAATCAAAACTACAAAAAAGCACACACAATCACTCAGGGTAAATCACTCCACAACTGTTTATTGATAGGTACACAGGATTCACAGAAAAAAAAAAAATGAAATCAATGAGAATCTTCCTTAATGTTTCAAAGACCTACCACAAAAAGAAAACTTTTAAACATTCTTTAAAGCTAAATATTTTAAAAACAACTATTTACCTGATTAAAAGATAATTTTTAAAGGATGGCTGATAATGCCAACATAGCCCTTTCATCAATAACTAAGATATAGTCACCAGATAGTTAAAAGGTAAAAAAGATATATTTTACAACACACAAACATTGAAGATGAAAAGAACGCTTTCATAAGGCATCTAAACAAGAATGTGGACCCACTGATGAAGTTTAATTTGAGCAATTCTTTCCTGATGGCTGTACCTTTGAATTCCATGTTCCAAATAATATGAAGGCATCGTCAAAAAAAATTAACACTATTAAACTGGTCTTAAATATATACCCTGTAAATTTACCTACCGAAACCAGGCAACATCATTTGACACTCAACATCCTGTTATCAATTGGCTGTGTGGCAACTTTTAAAATGACTTTTAACATAGAAACATATGTAGGCCTCTCACGTGGCTCACCAATACTCATTAACGTTTATTACATATCCTATTCATATAAGGACCTTACCTACTCTATACAGATGAAAACATTTTCATGGGAAGAATTAAGATGTTAACTGACTCAAAGTTATACCTAAGTTTATGATTATGTTTAAAACATGTACCAAAGCCATGAACGTATACCTTTAATCACATAGAAGTACACCATATATTAATTACTGGAGTAAGAAGAGTTTATGTTTCAGCTTGATATATTTTTTCTAAATAGCAGAAAAGCAAATCAGTGTATATTTACAACACTGTAACATTAAAATAAAATTACCTCAACTATATTGTAGGGATAAATCAACCAAATGGAACCAGGTCTCTCATATTTCTCAGATACAACAAAGGATAGAGAAAATCTCATCAAATGATCAAGCGGTATTAAGGTATCAAAGATTAAGACTATGGTACAAAACACCAGCCAATTATGCTACATTATAAATATTTAAACAAATGAAGCAGTCAATTGCACCTAGCCCTTGTAATCATCCTTGCTCTCTAGAAGCAAACAATATGAGGACACTAAATGAAGCCAAAGACATGTCTTGAAGACTAAGTCTTTCAAGCTGCAATTTGTGACCCATCAATCAATTTAGTGGGTTTCTGTCAGCATTTTTTAATGAAAGATAATGGAATCTAATAGAAACTACTACACTGCACCACTTGTAATAAGGGTAAACATTACTTTGTGAAAACTTTTTGCTCATATACAGGTGTGTACTAGATCACGATATAAAATGTATTTCTTACTATGGAGCATGATAGAAAAAAAATTTGGAAGCTCCTACCCTAGAGATCGAGGTCCAATACCTCAAGACCCAAAGGCTGAATGTTTCCAAAGGTCCTCAGCACCTACACATAACCTCTTAGCTTAAGATGGACTCTTGGAAACCAATTTAAGAACTCCAGGGCAGCATAAAAAGAACTCCCTCCGCTCATTTTGTATTTGGACTAGGGTTAGCAAGCTTCCTCACACAGCCCTAGATGGTGCCAACAAACTCCTGGTAGGTTAGCAACCTTCAGAATACAGCTCCCTCCTCCTCCACTGACTGTAAACAGTTCAACTCTTGTAGTCAACTTTCCTGAACTACAACTTCTAGAATCAGTGTGTACCAAGACAAGATAGTATTCCATCTTCTCCCTTCCCCAATTCCCTGGAAGTCCTTCTAGGAGCGGGCCTAGAACTGTGCACTCGCCCATTCTCAGCAGATAATCAAGTTCCACACTACCCTCCCGCCAGGCCCCGTCTTAGCTCCAATCCCCTCATTCTCAGCGTCTCCCAACTTGGGGGCAAAACGATTCTCCCCAGAGCCTTTCATAAACTACCGCATCCTATTATCAGCCCTGAAAGGAGCAGACCTAATGTCCCCCAGAGCCTGGGAATTGCCCGCCCGCCAAACCTCCCAGGACACACGTCTTCTATTTACTGATTGATTGATTGATTAACTGATGATGGATTCAGTGGTTCTGAGACAAGTTTCCTATTTCCCCGAGCAGCAGCCCCAGACTCCCCTCCATCTCCCATCAGACGGAGGGCATCTTCCCATCCCCCACGCCCTTGGGGCGCAGTGAGAAACCTGGATCCTTCCAGGAACTCAGACTGGCTCCTCCACAAGACCTCCCTCCTCCCACCCGGGGCTGGCTTCCATCCCCGAGTCCCAGGCCCGCCCAGCTCCGCCCAACCCAGACCAGGCCCAGCCTCCCTGCTGCCCCGGGCAGGTGCCCCTTCTCCCAGACGGGCTTCCTCCCGATGTTTGCGCACACTGCGCCCCTGCAGGAGCGGCCCTCCGCTCCGAGGCTCCGGAGGGTATAGCTCCTCCGGCCGCGAGAACACCACAGAGCCAGCAGGCCGGGGCTCCACTCACCCCCTCGGCCCGGGAGGCGGGGAGCTGCTGCGGCGGCTCCTCGGGCTGCGCCTCTCCTCCCCTCCCTCCCGGCCACCGCCGTGGTCGCCGCTCAGCCTCCCGCGGGGTCCCGGCCGGCCCCGGACCCGTTCGGCTTCACCGCGCACTCTACTCGGCCCGCAGGAGCCCGGTGTCCTGCATTGACCCGGAAGCAGCTTTCACAGCCCAACAACAACACGTGACCCTTCGCACGTGTTACGTCCGCTGCGTGAATGGGAGGGGGCAACAAAGGAGCGGGTCCTGGCCAACCAAGCTCGGGTTGCCATGGCAACGAGATGTCTGTACTGCCTGATCGTCACTGGAAACACACTTCATCTGCTTTTTTTCTTCCGCGTCATTGGGGGTCACCCTAGGTTCAAAGGAAGGATACAGATTGTCACATCAGCGTGAAATAGGGGCAGGTCAGAGCAGCGGCTGGACCAATGAGAGGCAGCTGCCTTATAAAAAGGAGCATTGAGCTGAACCTTTCCAGGCTTACCTGGAATTTTGTCTTGATTCTGTCACTAATTTGCATTGTGACCCTGATCAGCTCTGCTCCTGTCTCTGGATTCAGTGGTTCTCATTAGGTGAGCTCTAAACTGTAATCTAATTCCATCCCAAGATGCTTTTGTATGAGGATGTGGTAGCACTCTGGCCTTTATTCTGTGTCCCCTTCCCAAGGCCTGAGCTTTCAGTGCTCTAGCACCAATGTAGTAATGGCAGCTTCTGTTTACTGAGCCACTGGTAGGTACCAGGCACTGTACATATGCTACTTCTAATTTTACAACCGTCCAAAAGTAGGTATTTTGTAGATTTGAAAACCGAAGTTCACAAAGATGAAATAATCTGCTCCAGACCACCCATTTAGTAAAAGTGACCAGGCTAAGATTTGAATCCAGGTCAGTCTGGCATCAAAAGTTCCTGCACTTCACAGTATGCTCTACTATGGCTCGAGCTCTATACACATGACGGTGGGGCTGTGATCGCTTATTGTACTTCTTTGTCCATTTCTTTTGCAGGAACATACACAGAATAGGGATGGTGCTGGCTGGCCCTGAAGACAATTCAGTCTTGTGTGGATATGTTAGCTTAAGTGTTAGGATTTGAAGAGGTCTGTTGCATAACGTGTGCGTGCTTTCATGTGGTACGTGTCAGGGAGCAGGTGAGGGGATGTGATGCGCATGTACGTGTATTTATTGGTTCCTAAAGGCAGGGAGACAGAATTCTTTAGGAGGGACCCAATGGCAGTTCCTGGGGACTTATGTCTCTCATTTTGTTTTGTTTTACTCCATAATAGGTAGGGCTTAAAGGAGTTGGGGGTGGGGAGCTTGAAAAAGCTGGTTAAAGAAAGTGCTTCTGAAGATCAAGGCAAGGGTGAGCCAAACAGTGTTTAGTTTAGTTTGCTGAGGTGGGGGCTTTCCTCCTCCTGCAGAGAGCAGAGTGTCCTTCTGGCACCTTAAGATAAATGGCTTTGGGAGCAGCAGGGTCATTGGCATGACCACTGTAAAAAAAAAAAAAAAACACCTCAGTGACAAGGACCATGAGAAGAGAAGAGTGAACTATGCACAGAGGAGGAAGAACAGGGTATAGGCTGCATGGATATTTTAATGATAGACTTACTTATGAGCTTGGATACCCTTGGGGATACCCAGAAATACTTAGGAAGTCCTGTGAGCAACTAGGAAAAAGACAAGAAATGTGGATCATTACTCTTAACAAATACTGTGTACAGGGTATATAAACATATGTGAGTATTGTATATAACTGGGTGTAATTATTTATATACTCTTTTGTTTCTTTGAGATATCAAGTCACTTTTTTTTGTTCCCTTCTCTCTCCTCATAGAGCAAACTCCTAAAGCCAAGATCAATGTCTCCACCCATCTCCAGTCTGTCCCCACAAGGCAGCCAGAATTCTCTTTCTAAAACGCATATCTGAACATGTTAATCCCTGTCTCCCCTTATTCTGTACCTGCCCTGTACAATCTGGTAGCCACTAGCCACATGTGGCTGTTTAAATTTAAATTAATTAAAATTAAGTTAAATAAAAATTGCATTTCCTGAGGCACATGACACCAGCCATATTTCGAATGCTCAGGGGTTAGTGCTATCATATTGGACAGTGCCGATATAGAATATGTTCATCATCACAGAAAGTTATATTGGGCTGTGTTGCTCTATACTCTCAATTCCTCATGTTTCAGTTCTTTGGAATTTGCTTTGCTAAATTCTTTGCTTGCAACAGTCTTCTTCCACCTACTTGGAACTGAAAATTAAACATACCGTATTTCCCCATGTATAAGACGCTCCCATGTACAAGACACATCTTATTTTTGGGGCCCGAAATTTGAAAAAAAATGTATTACATAAAGTTACTGAACTCAAGTTTTATTCATCATAAAAAATTCATACAACTCCTCATCACTGTCAAAACTCCCAACCATTAGCTTGTCCTCATCTGTGTCCGATGACGAATGACTGTCTTCATATATTGCCTCGTCCTCAGTTCCATCTATGGCATTTGAAATGCCACACTTCTTAAATGACTTGACAACAATCTACAACCACTATATAAGATGCACCCAGTTTTTAGACCCCAAATTTTTCAAAAAAGAGTGCATCTTATACATGGGGGAATATGGTAATTGCTTATTTTCTTGTTGTCTCCTTGACAAGCACCTAAGTCTATGAAGGCAAGAGCTAAGTCTATCTTGTACACCATCAATTCCCCATTATCTCTAAAGGACTATCATATAGAAGGATAGAGTAGAGGTGCACTAAAATGAGAGGAGGTAACAGAAAGGCAAATTTCTGGTCTTTTATTAGAACTTTTTTAAAATTTGATCATTTTAACCTACAAGTAGCAATTTCATATGGTTCAACCTAATAATAGGGAAGAACTTTCAAAAAATTGGAGCTGCTTCAGTTCTAATGAGTTCCTTGTCACTAGGATAGTTTAAGCAAAGGCAGAATCTGTTAGAATAATGTATAAAAAATTCCTAAATCATTAGGACTGGTTGACCAGTCTGACTCTAAGATTTTTTTTTTTTTTTATAGAATTGTACACTTGAAACCTAGGAGATTTTAAGTCTGTGTTCCTCCAACTGAATCTTTAATTCAAGGTTGATTGTTGTCAACGAAAAAACATCCAGGCTAAGAGAAAGCTTATAAGACTTTATTTAAGCCAAACTGACAACAATTACCAGAAAGCAAAATCTCAACGGTTTGAGAAAATGCTCCACAAAATTGTGGTTTGCAGCTTATTTTATACATAGAATCAAAGGAGGGAGGTTGCATGAAATTCATTGGTGGTAGATTAAGGGGGTGGGAGAAAGCAGAGAGGGGAAATCTCTAGGATTGGATAAAAGTAAATTGGATAGACAGGTACTTCTTTCACATAGGTGGGTGCAAGACTGTTAATAGTTCACATAAAGATGTTAATCAAGGGACAAGAATAATAATGAGGGATTCTGTAGTTTCCTGCTTTGGTCTGGAAAAAGGAATTACTGGCATTCCTAGGATGTCATCTTAGGAACAAAAAGACAATAGACAGGCTCACTTAAGGTGAAGATTGACTTTATGAAGGAAGCTTCAGACCAAAGATGTGACTTCCTGCCATGGCCCAACTTAGTTATGATTTTTTTTATGTTTACGCCATCTTATGTGGTTATTTTTAGTCTCCTGACCTTATCAGGTTTAACCTGTGGCCCCTTTTCCATCCTCATTGTGCTGTAACAGCCATCATAGCTACTTTCTGAGTTTTTACTATGTACCAGACAATGCTTGATATATTTCACATAAATTATTTCCTTTAATCCTCACAATAATCTTATAAAGTACATTTGATACCATCAGATTTACCAAGTGAGACATAGGTTAAGTCATACATTCTGCAACATACAGCCAGTAAGCGCAGAGGCTGAATTCATATTTAGGTCAGTCTGACAACAGAATCTAACTTCATAATAACACTGTAATGATGGGATATAGTTGTATCAGAAGGTTTCAGTCAGATATTTGTCCTTTTAGTTCAATGAACGGTTATTTTATAATGAATGTATTCCTTGCATTTAGCTAGGTGGTTTGGGGAAAACAAAGATAGATAAGTCATTGTCCCTAAAATGTAGTTGGAAAGATAATGCATATATTCAAATAACAGTGATATAGGTCAATTAAATGTCTATTATTTTAAAAGGGGGATAAGGGAGTCATCTTCTTAGCCGAAGTCTTCTCCCAAGTAGGCGAAAGAATCAGAACAGAATTATATGAGAATTCAATGTGAACAGCATCAGCACACAGATGGGAATACAGGTGAAGAGAAAAACAACTGCTTCACTTGAAAGACAAATGACTGGTTTAGAAATGAAGAGTCTGCAATACTAGTCCTGTTTTTTCCACTGACCAGCCATGTCACTTGATCTCTTTCTGCCTTAGAGCTTTATCGATCAAATAACTTGGATTGGATCAACTACTGTGGTGAACCCTGAAATTACATGTAAAATTATATATATATATAATAAAATATATAAAATACATGTATATGTTTTCAAGAGGCAGTGCCATCAGATTCAGAAAGAAATTACAAGTCAGAAAACTTTTAGGCTACATTATTAAATTCTGCAATTCTGAAATTCTCTATTTTGTTTTTGTCAACATTACTGACATATCTGTCAGGAAATGGACTGTCATACTAAACTTAGTTGCCAAGCAAAGAGCAAAGATATTTTTATTTTAAACAGGAGAGTCATAACTAGAACTACGTATTTAGAAAGTAACAGTATCTCCTTACTGGGCAGAATATGGTCTTAATAAAACAATCTTAATTTGGTTTTCTGCAATGCACATAAATGGATCAGTCATAAAAAGCTTAATCTTCAAGGAGGCCTTACACTTACTCAAATCATAGCCAACAAATTGACAGACGCTTCACTAATCCCTCTTAGGTTTTGTTTTGTTTTATTTTGTGAAGAATAACAAATACACAGAACACTGCACATATATAATGTACATTATTGTACAGCTCAGTGAATTACCACAGAGCAAAAACCC